CTTGTATTGGACGAGAGCCGGGTCTTTAAAAAAGTGGCCAAAAAAATGAGCCATATTCCAGACGTGTTTTTCAGTATTAAAAAAGTAGAAAATTTATATAGGGGTGTATAGGTCGAGAGCTGGGTCTTTAAAAAAGTGGCCAAAAAAAGCTCTTCCATTTTTTTCTCATTTTTCCCCTATAAAAAGTGCCCTAAAAGTGCCTCTAAAACGCCGAAAGTGAGGTCATATTGTGGGTTCACCACTACTGTAAGCGAATCTAATAATGTAAATATTATCTGTACGAGAAGAAATTATATTTTAAAAAGGTTTATATTTTCCTATACAAAAAATACGGTCGCAGTTTTAAGGCAGTACCATCACTCAAATCAAATCTGGAAATGATAATATATTTTCTAGAATAATACCTGTAGAACGCCGAGGTTGTGTATGGGTTTGTAGCCTACAGACTTCTTTACACACGTGAGTGGAAAGCCATGTCTGAACACTGAACTTCGAGAATAACTTGGCGAAAAACAGTCAACAGATGTTTAGCATCCGTTACGACAACGGAGGCCTTGGACCCAGCTGGTCTCTTATCTCATATCACCGCGACCTTGAGGTCCGCCATGGCGTTATCAGTAACATCTTATCACTGACCACGCCCGAGGTTGCGGTTATTGCTATTTATTTAATGTTTAATTGTAGGACAAATCTTGATAATTTTGAGTCATGAGTCATTGTACTGAACACGCCCCTTTGCAGTGAAATCATTGTTAATAAGTAACATTCGTCCGAATCAAACAAACTGCAAAATGAGGGACATTGTTGTAACGTCAGTATAATACCCCGCCGCAGCTAACCTGCAGACTAAGCTAATTTTCATTTGCCTGATTCGATTTTCACTAAAATATCTCCGTAAAAATGTCATTATCCTTTCATATTTAAATAACATTAGCGAGTACTTAGGTATGCTGCTACAGGGAAGGCAATAAGGTGTTTTATAGTTGAATGTTGATAATATAGTATACAATAAATACATTTTCCAAATTTGATCCACATTTTTTTATAAACAAGGAAACTACAACAGTTTACTTGTCCTCCATAATAATAATAACAAGGAAATTTTAAAGTTTACAGTTTTTTTTTTAGTTTGATAAAACCCCCATAAACCCCCGTTACCATAGTCCGATCATGCTGGTTCACGAGCTCGTTCGAATAAATGCAAGTTTACACGTTGATACAAAATTTCCTAAAAATCGGATCATCTTTGCTCGAGTTATCGTGCTAACGAACACATAGATGACTGAGGGTGTCGTGATTTTCTGATTGGTTCTTAGTATCACCTGACTTGTGTTAGATTTTCAAAATGTATCTATCTATTCAAAGTTCTTAGTATCACCTGACTTGTGCTAGATTTTCAAAATGTATCTATCTATTCAAAGTCATTTTAATTTGATATTGTGGCATTAACAAGTTTTAGAGAGGACTATGTTGATTGATGGGTAAGGGTGTCAATGAAGCAAGCCATGAAGGTTACGCAATTCCTATTACCAACTCTGTACACAACAATAATTATAAAAACACCCTGGGCGTGAAAACCTCATGAAAAGTCGTATACGATGATTTACGATTGCAGTCTAAAACACCAATAAAATTATTTTCAAAATCAGTAACATTAGTTGAGTTTAAAAGGTTGACTTGCAAAAGTGAAAGTAATGTTGCCCCATTATCTGTCGAACGGCAGTAAAGCTCCATTAGATTTATCCGTGAAATTTCCTTTAATAACAACACCGTGTACAGAGTGAAACAAATTAAACGCTCCATCAGGGACGCGTTTGTTTCATCATATAACCATACGATCACAATTTGCATGTATAAGCAGAAACACGAACACGATATGCAGCTTTGGAATAATTGGGTTATGCGAGATCGGTCAAGATCATAAAGCAAACTGACCTCATGAATATTCAGTTACAATCAGCTGTTTAACTGACAGCTGAGCGATCAGCTGATCGCGATCCCTACGTCAATCATGAACGTCAGCTGCTAATAAATCGAGAATTAGATCTCGTGATCTAATGTTGACCTTAGAACTTTACTGATTGCTCTTGATGTGAGTTTGCGCAAATTTTAAACAGGATCAACCGCAAATTAATGAGTTTTGAACAAAACAATTTGAAAAATCGTATTTTCGACCTAGGCTAAGAGAATAACTATTCACTTACTGTAAGGACTTGAGATATTGTCAGAGTTGAGACGTATGGTTGTTTGCAAGTGGACCAAAGAAGCGAGAGCACAAACACAATAAATCTCATAAATCGCCGTGATTTTCTTTTCTGTGACGTCAGTGTCAGAATCAATATGTAACAATAGGATGACTCGAACTTACTACAGAGCGTACTTAAGCTACAGTATGCACAAGCGTAATTATTATCACAGGCCACAAATTGGACCATAAACATCACTTTTAATTTGCCTCCCCCTCCAACGCTGAATGGGGCACGGTCAAGAGTTATAGCACTATTTTTATCATTCTTGACAAATAGTCGAGTCATTAATAATACTTTATGCCTCGGTAATTTCAGGCTATTAAATTAAGTAATGACCCACAATCCGACATGGAAGACAGACAAAAGATTAAATGGCAGCGTGCCACTAGGTAGCAATACGGTCAAGCGTTGTGCAGTGAAGTAACTGCAAAGAAAAGACAAATCTGTTACGGACAAACAACAGTGGTCGACAAAGCCTGGCTTACAAAATCTTAGTATACTTAACATTACTTTTTTCGATTCCTAAATTTTTGAAGGATATATTACTTTACAATAAGAATCGTTTGAGAACTTGGGAGGATATATCGAAGTAGTGTAAGGTTCTATGTTCCCCCAATAGGCTAGTTTTTGCAACTTACATGCTTCGAAATACTCGACAGAATTTTGTAGCAATGAAATATTTCATCCTTCAAATGTAATTAAGCTGATACGATAAGAATCTCCCACGATTACTAGTTTCTAGTAATCGTGGAATCTCCTCATCATTAGCAGGTGATCTATCTTGCAGAAATCGCCGTATTAAGACAAACCCCTTATGAGCTTTACCTCAGGGATTTCCCTTAGAGTCTTAAACAATACTTCGATGTCGATCTCATGACAATCACCTCCAAGAACATAGCAAAATATAAACACAATTTCACCAACATTCAAACAGTGAAGTATCGTTTTACTTCAAGAATCTTGAAAAGAAGACATCGGGGATTGGTGAAAAAAACTGGCGAGTCTAGAGTTCCGATCTGGATGATGACCGTTTAAACTGTAGCAACGACTCTACTCGTGCGCGGTGTACGTGGATATTAAACAGATTTTAGTTTTTTTCCTAAAGTTACTCAGTAGCACGATGGACCGGCAATTCAGCAGTAATCTTCTCTCACTTTTCTCCGAGTTGCATGCCAAGCTTATGACGTTCCGCCTGCAATTGTACTGCAACCGAGAAATCGTGAGCACGAATTTAGTTGAGAAATCTCGTGAAGTTGAGAGAATCATGATCTATATGAAAGTGAAGGTTTTACATTTTTACCATTTGTCGTTTTTATTAAACAACACTTTAATAAAACAGTCTACGAAAACGAGAAGAAATGGACATAAGAAAATTGTGATCCAACCCGGTTCTGTTCAAGTATTCGTGGTTCCTGCCCTTCATAGTCTTATTATTTACGAACACTAACACACAAATTCCAACTCTTAAAGTCCTACCAGTACATGTTTGAAGTAAAACTGTTGAGAAATCCTCCCTAAAACTTCTCTTAAGAGGTTCTTTATACTTTCAAAGTTGTACTGGGAGGCCTCTACCCAGACTGTCCTATTAGTAGGACACAATCGTTGGACACGAGGAACACTGGAAATGGAACATTGCGCAAGAGTTGTGCTGTGACAATAGCATGGACGTTATCAGGCACGGCCCGGGAAAGTGGAACAGTGGAACAGTGGAACAGCGAACCGCGACAATCACACACTCCACAATCTGGCGGTCCTCTTGACGGGCAACTGGCCATTGTGTTCTGGACTGAGGACATTTCCGGAAACTAAAGCATGTAGAGGAGTTGACATATGATGGTCCGTATATTTCAGCCACAAAAAATGTTCCAGCAAAGCAAGATCGGGCTAGTTAAAGAAAAGAAAACGAAACATTCCTAATACGCTCTAAGCAGTGACCACTCTGTTCTGGGCTAAGGACATTTTTTTTAAAGCAGACAAATATTATTGATATGCGTTCAATGTTTGTGGACATCGAGGCTTTTGACGGCATTGATGCTGTAAACGTGTCTACAATGATGAGCAGTGGGTATTGTGTTCCGTACCTCAATATATTTTTACCGAAATGAAAACATATAGGTAGATTTATAGACATGATATGGCATATGGCTATGTAGAAAATCTTCGTGGTATGGTGACATGGATACGATATAATGGGACAATTTGGGATTTGACAATAAATATGTAACTTAGAGCCACATTTTGGTGGTTAACCACATATTACATTGTGATAGCCTATAGTCATAAGATACAATGAAAGGTATTCAAAATCGTCCAAGAAAAGCCAGGAAGATATAATTAAAAAATAACATAAAATTAATGGCTGGATCGAAATTTCGAGGCTCCTAATCAAATGAAAACTTGCATACTCATATTTCCGACATCAGAAAAAACTACCATTTACTTAAGCTCAGTCATCGCCAATGGTTTGTTACTCTTTTATTCCCTATGGCTTGATAGCCTAGTGTGCGATGAATACAGTCTATATTTAACAGTTTATTAGTAGTTAGCCAATATAGGATGAAAGTAATTGATTTATTATAGGGTTTGAGTGTTATGATTCATTGTAATACTTGCTTTGGCAGATACACAATTTCACATGCGTTTCAAAGTAAAATGATAAGTATTATAATCCCAGATAAAATTAATCTCGTAATTCTGCCCAAACTGGTTCAAACAGGGTGTATATCAAGAACTATAGATAAAGGTACTTACCAAAATCTCATGCACTATCTGGTATCAATATTGTTAAAAACTCCCAGAAGAATCTTGCAAATTCAGACTTCAAGGTGTGATATACAAGTCACTTAAAAAATTGACACAGGGTTTTTTAAGTAGATAAGCACAGAAGAAATATTAACACTTCAATTTCAGAGCAGAAATGTTTACCAAATCTGCCAGATGCGGTCGCAACACTGACCAGTCACCAGTGACCAGCAGAGACGTGACGATATACGAAGGGCGCGGCGCGGACGATACGACTAAAATGAAAACGCAAACATGATGACCAACTATCGGCAATCGCAATAGCCATCGGAAGAAATATCGATAGTCATAGTTGAAGTGAGTGGGGAAAACACAAAATTGAAGCAGGTAATTGCATACCAGATTAATTCTTCTCTATCTTATTGCAGTACAATATATAGTTTGAGCGTTTGAGGAAGGTTTTGATGTAGCGAGGGTCAGGTACAGCCGACAGCGGAATTGTGTTTTAAGCCAATATTAATGTTAGATTAACTGTAAAAAACATGACAAGAATATGTAGATATTTCAATGGTTGTTCGACAGGCAGTGTTGTAAAAGAAGTTCATAATAATTTAGTTTTTCTCAGTTTGTTTAAAGGTTGTAAATGCTATTTTTGCTTGTTTCATGAATTTTTCAGAAAACCTCTAACGAGGTTAAACGGGTCAAAGTGGTAAATTTAAACTGCTAAAGTATTTCAAGAGACAAAAACGCAATTAAAATCGGGTTTTCCTGATTTTTGGCTGTACGACAGTTAGTTAAGTTGTGTTTTCAGATTAATATTATCTATATCTATAAAAGAGGAACTATGTATGTATATATATATGTGTGTGTGTGTATATACGTTATGGACTCCGAAACCGCTCGACAGATTGTAATGAAACTTTCAGGCATTATTAAGCATTTTTCAAGGATGGTTCGAGTGAAGTTTGGTGCAGATCCGTCAAAAGGGCTCTACCCCAGAGGGGTTTCAGTGGGCCAATGTCAGAATTTTTGATCTACAATGTTTACAAATAAATATAATTTAAAAGCATATGTTTACTTTCACCAATTGTTTTGTAGGTTAATAATCACAACATTCTGTATTAGCATTAGTCATGATTTGAAATAGTGCTACAGTGTTTCTACAGAGTGCAGCACAGAAAACTATTTTACTTTTGAATAAGTCCAAATGTATAAACCCCAATCGCAGCACACCTGTGCACTCAACAACGTTTAAATTCTTCAATGGTAAATATTAAAAACATAAAAACCTTTATCAAAGTAAGGGATCACTTTTTTAAATTTATGACAACAGCTAATTAGCAACCAAAAGCTGAGTGAGCGTAGCGAACGTACATGAACCTGGAAACGAGTAAGCGTAGCGAACGAGCTAACCTGAAAACAAGTGAGCGCAGCGAACGATTTCCAACCTGAAGGTGAGTGAGCGTAGCGAATGAACTTCAACCAGGACGTGATTGAGCCATGCGAATACTTATGAAGTTAAGCGGGGCAAAGCCCGCGGGTACAGCTAGTATTTTATATAAGTTTATCCTAATTGAACTGTTACTACTGTATAATTAATACGTGTAGTCTTAACGAATCGATTTTTCCGATTATAATTTTAAAAATTCATTTATATCAAGGATGCACCCTCGATAAATTGTTTATATCTGTGTTCTGTGTTGGAAGTTAGGACATGTCGGAAAGCGTTGTACCAATAAGGCTAGCGACCTCCTGTCAAGGCCCATGCGTTGTGTCTAGCCAAGCTGCCACTACCACAACACTAAACTTACCACCGTCTTGCAACTTTCCCGTAAGCTTCCTTCTTTTCAAGTCCAATTTTCATGGAGATAAAACTAGGCCAAAAGAAAGTACAGAGAAGATAAATTTATAGACTGCTACGATGGGAAATATTTAACTGACTTAAATAATGAATTCCGAAAAACTAAAAAGTACTAAAGATAGACAAAACCCAAAAATGTGCCAGTTTAACCCTAAATTTAGCTACAGACCTCACTTCAAAACCTATGAACCAAATTTAAAATCAACCTAATCAGAAAAAGCAAAGTTTTTAAAAGAGAGAATAAGTTGTTTAACGCCTACAGTATTTTGAAATCTCTTGTTTTATTGCAACGTAATACGTTATTTTAGGTAACACCAGTTGGTTACCCAATAGATACTGATTATTATCGATAAAGACCGATATGTTGGGTGAAATAACAGAGTCATCTAACGTGGGGAGGTTGCGTAGCAGAGCGAATCGCAGAATAGTGCGATCATTGAGTTGGATAACACAACAGACTTCAGAAACTGGGACTTGGTAAAATCTTCCCTGGAACTCTGGACAAACAGGAGAAAGTTGGGAAATGTCACGTCCTATCT